AACTTTTGACAGCCATTACAAACTGTCACTGCACCAGAGTGGGTGAGAGACACAAACTTGTCTGTGTTTATAGCTTAACTGATCCTCTTATTCCTGCTACTCCTCCAGTCTTTCTGCTCTGCCCTAATCTCTCCGGGGGTCTTACTGGCCCAGGATGACAAATGGGAAGGAGAGGCCAGCCAAGCGTGGGCTCTGTGGAGAGGCTCAGGCCGGGGGTCTCACTAAGCTCCCTCAGCTCCACCCTGGATCATCTTTGACATGGCCTGCACTAACCCCAAGGATGGTGAGGCCACACGCGTCACACACAAAACCAGGTACAGGACACACAATCACACATACATGGTTCCACACATGTAAGCATACACACAGAAAAACACAAGACATAAACCTCTGAGCAGTACACTGCACCAGATTGATTTGTCTCCTCTAGCTGCTACCTTACATCTCATGTGCACACACACATACACCTCCAACCTCTCACACTTCTCAGCTGCTCCAACAATCCAGGGCAGGAATGTGAATGTCAGCTCAGAACTGGTGTCACCAGATAAAACCCAGCCAGCTCTATTTCAGTATACAGTCCAGCTCAATAAGAGCACGTACTAAATGACTGCAATGTAATGAGTGGCTGGGTGGCTGTACTCAGAGCTGTGACTCTGACAGCGCATGAAAATGTAATGCGTTGAAGCCTCCTTCTCGTCCCCCCCTTCTCTCTCTCTTGCTCCATGCTCCTCTGCGCCCCACTGCCTCTCTGCCACGGGATCAGCTGCAGGCGCTAATGAAACGTCAGTCAGGTAATTGAGGCTCTGGTGGTGGCGGGCCAGCCAGGCAAGCAGCCTGTGTGGGTGATGACACCGGGACGCTAGCAGCTACAGGATCTCACCAAACCCCTATGAAGGAACTGCTCCAGTACCCAGTGGGGTGGAAAGCATTGCATTTATGCTGACATTTCCCCATGTCCTCCTGTTTGTGTTAGGGAAGAATTTGAGCGATGTGTAGAAAGGTGTGTACCGGTAAGTTGAGTCGTCAGCTCAGCCAGAGATTGTTAACAAGCTTGGTGAAAGCTGCTGTTGGTGAGTGGGATGTTGTACCATCAGCCCTAGTGACGGAGTCAGAGGTTAAAATCCTTTGTTATTGCACCCCAGAGTGATGTTACCATCCCCTGCCATCCGATGACCTGCTCAGCACCACCAGTGAGTTATGGGTAATGTTTAATTCCCCCTGCTGTGACAGCTGTGGATCCGCATGGTAAATTGGATTTTTTTTTCCTTTGTTAGAATCGTGCTTGCACAGGTGAAGAGGGGAACATTCGCTGCACTGGTTTGCCAAGGTAACTCTGTCACATATTGTTCAGAGGCCTCTCTATCTCTCACTGACAAATCAAGTCAAACCGGTTAGTTTCTGAGGGCTGCACACAGCAGATCTGTCTTACCTGATCTTTTTTATAGTCAGCATGCAATCACAACTGACCACACTCTGCTCACCCCTATGTGCCCCCCCTTCTTCACCATGTTCGCTAAGACAATGGAATAAAAGTCCATATATATGGATGCACATGCAAGCTGAGGACAAGAGTTCAGTTTAAATCATAAACACTCAGGACATCGATACATTTTATTATAGTTTAGTGTAGAATTTTAAGGTTAACCTTGTTTCAATATCTTTGTGTGTTGTCCACCACCTGATTTAGAAACCTTTCTTTATACATATTTCATCATTAAAGCTGCTCTAATCAAGACATTTTAAATTAGCAATGTATCAAATGACTATGTGTTATGTGAAAGGAGCAAATGTATGATAAACTGACAGTGAATTATGTCCCAGCTCTGCAGTTTGATTAAGCCGCTGTACACTACTTGCTCAGCAACAAACAGCAGACAGACACAATAAGCGATTACCTGCTGAACAACGGAGCATTTGGCAGCTAAAGAAGCAAATGATTTTTCTTTACAGGAGTTGGTGGAGATATAACGGAGTTTAAAGTTTAGTAAATAGTGATTTACATTTTTCATATGGCCAGAAACATAAGTCCAAATGAATGCTAACGTTGCTCCATATCTGCTATATTTGTAAATGCACTTACACTTTCACCATAACTTTATAAGGTGATAATGATTTTCAATGTTGTGTTTTCAAGTCCCGAGGTGGGACAAAAAATAAAAAGAATTGTTACTGATTTCAGAAGTAATAATTTATTTCAACTATATTATGAGTCAGGGTAAGAAAATATTTTAGTGATGTTTTGCAACCATATGCAGTTTAGTTGGAACACATTACTCACACAATAAAAAAATAAAGCTACACTGACAGGCAATGATTTTAAAACTTAAAAATAAAAGCAACAATTTAAAATTGACTTCTTTAAATAAAATCCATTTTTAATCCCTTTAGTCTCATTCACAACATAAGTGTGTAAATTCAGGTAGTTTCTTGAATGGAGCCTATATAACTTTTCTTTTCTGAATAGATAAAATTACACAAGGATCTTTCAGCTAAATCCACCTTGATTGTCTTGTGTTAAGGAAATTAAAATGACTTTTTCTATTTCACCACCACCCTGAGCCATTGCTTCTTTTCATGGTAGGACACCTTGAAAGACAACAACACCTGACCATAGATATTCCAGGGAGTAGAACAGTACAGAGGAATAGGAAGTCAAGATTTAGTCCCACTCTCTCCGCTCCACTCGACTCAACTCCACTCTCTTTTGCCTCCCCAGGGCTTTAATGTGGAGAGTGGACAGTGGGGTTAATGCCTAGCTGTAAGCACTGCTTAGCACCAGTGATTGGGTTTGTGTTGTAGTAGGCCTTCCCCCACCAGCAAAGAATCCAGTGGAAATGACTTCCACTGTCCAGCCCTGAGGGCGACTGTGATTTTCCTACCTGCGGTTTCAACTCCCCTCTCCTTTGTCGCAGCTCGGTGTCCCAGAGGGCACAGGTGAATTTGATGTGGAACAATGATTAAAAGTTTTCTCCCTCAAGGTGACCTAAATACTGGAGGAGGGGAAAGTCAAAGTGAGAGACGTGGAGATGAGAGGGGCATGGAGGTGAAAGTCTGTTTTGGACATTTGTTATGGCCCATATGGTAAGTGCTCACTCCAGGAGTTTAAAATGGAAATTACCCAGCCTGTCCTTACACTCCTGTTTGACCATTTCTGCTTCTTTCCCTTGTAGTAATCAGTGATTGTATGTGACATGATGGGTATGAAGCACTGTGCCACAGCAAGGAGAGAAAGCATCGACAATCTAATCATTGTCATCTAATCATCAGCGATTACCTTAAGGCGTGATGTATTTGAACAGGGTTCTATCACATCTGCTATTACCTGCCTCTTCCTGCCTTATGTCCCTCAGTACACATCTTTTCTCTTAACTGTGTGCTCAATCACCACCACCAGCATTGCTGGCTGGTGCGGCCGAACGACCCCTTCGACAGTGACGTATACCAGCGATTAGCCTGGATACAGTTCAATTATGATAAACAGCCAGCGCACCTCTTAGGCCGTTATTAAAGCTTCAGTCTGGCCTTGATAAAGAGATCCCATCTCAATGCCATCACAACCACATTATAAGACACTCCGCCATGGTGTTCTGCATCATGCTTTTCACATCAGTGTTGCAGAACGTACACTGTAGCCTGGATGGAGCTCATGGCAGATGGTGCAAGATGGGGGTCTTAATCATTCACACATGGCTGGTGATGCATCCCTGCCCACCTATTTTCAATTTAGACTAGTATTTATTAATAACCTCCACTTTCTTGAAGCCTATCTTACAAGATACCTGCCATATAAGTTAAGACGGGTTTAGATATTGAGAGATAGAGGGAGAGAGAAGCCCCAGTTTTGATAAATGGATGAGCAGTGATGAAAAGAAGATATCAGAGGAGCATGAAAGGAGAGAGGGGAAGGGAGCAGAGCATTAATCCAACACCAGGCTGGTAGAGAGAGGGAGCCAGAATGAGAGACAGAGAAAGAGGGGAGAGAGAGGGGAGGAAAGCAAAAGAAAGATAGCCTTTCGGCTGTGTTCTGTCAAGGGAGAAATTACACATTTACGGAGGTTTTTTCAAGCAACGACGGGTTCCATAGATCAAACCACTGGATTTATGAGCCAATTTTCAACATGAAATATAGACAGTGAGAATCCATTTTACCCATGTTTACTCGCCTTCTCACTCTCTTTTTCTCTCTCTCTCAATCAAACGGCCTACAGCGTGCGGATAGGTTTACTCCTGTAACCTTAGCAGCGCTTATTAGAGCCGCAAATGAAGATGTTATGACTGTGGTGATCATGCAGCCTTCTGTGGATGTTGCAGAGTGTTTTCACCTATGACAGCAAGGAAAAGAAGGCTTCTGAAGTTGAAGAGGATCAAGACTTGAACAAAGATGGTTCAAATATAAAGTACTGTTTTTTTTGTTTCTTGCATCTGAGTAAATGATTTCTTTAGCAGAAATAACAGTGAAATAAAGTAAATCACATTTGGATTTTAATTTCTTAGGTTTAAATCTTCATTTGTAGTTCTGAAGTAATTTGGAGTTTGTATGCAGATTGCAGTACCTGAAATACTTTATTTAATAATAATAATACTTTTGCAGTGTATATATCTATGGAGATATATAAATACACACAGATGCCCAGATCACAGTACTGCCTTCTGCCGGGCAAATGTATGCAAAATTTGCATAGAAATTAATGTCTAAGTAGGCTAAATGACATAATTGACATGCAATTAGCAATATTATGGAAAGGGGACCTAATGAAGTTTCAGTGGCTGTGCCAACCTAAAAATGATCGCTGCTTAATTATCATATTAATGAAGTCATTAGTTGTCACTTAACTTAGATGACAGGTAAGGTAAGAATGTCATGATCCTACAATTTCCCCGGCAAATGTGTATTCAACACTAATTACCTCCAAGTTAAGATCTCGTCTGAGAAAGAAAAAAAGTGCTTGGAATGTTAAAGGAACCACAATGGCAAAAACGTGCATAACACGCAGCAAGAAAAGAAAAGAATGAGGTTTATTGGATCACTGACTAAAGCATCGTCAAGGTCAAGGTCACCTGAGGAGAAACAACACATGTCAGCTCCACTAGTCCAATATAAAAGCACAGGCATCAGATGGAACCCCAATCTGAGAGAGCGCAAGACGCACTCTTGGTCAGGAGGGAGCTACAGAGAGTACTAAAGGCTAAGACAAAAACACATTTCCAGTAAACAGTATGGCATGATTAGGCTACAAAAAATCTCAGATGGGTCAAATGAGCAGTGCGGCTCGAGGTCCTCCCACTCCCAGAGTCTCTTCTTTCATTCCAATTCATTTCAATTACCCAGTCATTCCCACCTTCTTCCCCCTGTCCCGATTAGCTCAGCCTGGCAATTTACAGTTGATCTTGCCTCATCTAAGGCTGAGCAATGGTGAAGGCAGGGAGACGAGCAGTAATGGAATGAAATGTCACTCAGTTGTTGCCTTTGTCAGAAAGATGCTGGGCAGGCCAGGTTGGGATGGGTTTGGAGAGGTCTCATCGGTATGTGATAATTTGTGTGTGTGTGTGTGTGTGTGTGTGTGTGTGTGTGTGTGTTTGAAAAATGGACAGAAACATGGTGTCCTGCTCCTGTGTCCCTCTTGTCCAACCATAAAACTTGTGGAAGTCTCCACCGTGACCACAGTAACTAGCACAAACCCCTTGCCCGCCACCGTGTACCAGCTGGTCCTCTCGCCCTCATCATGGCTTCTTCACTTTTTTTACTGAAGACGAGCTGGATGCCGACTCTCTGCGTTTGCGCTGAAATGTGACACAAAACATTCACATCAATTACCATTTTCTGGCCATTACTAGAACATGTTTGCTAATCTGCCAAACAAGCTGGCCATAAATAGTCAATGTTGTTTAATGAATGACTGGACCAACACATTACAAACACGAGGAATGAGGCAGGCAGTAGGCTTGCTTGAGATGTGTAACAAACGGAGCACGTCTTCTCATGCTGTTTCGATAGTCACTGTCTCTGGCTGGCTGCTCACCTGTTACTGCGGTACAGGTCCATCTATCCTCTCAGTCACAGACTGCTTGCTGACCTCTCAATCACGCTGCGTAGGCTAATGCCTTGAGCAGACTACACGACTTTCAGCGTCGGCCGATGGCCTTGCCATTACACTACACAACTTGCTGTCCTGTGACAGAAGTCTTGAAGTCTTTGTGGCGTTCACGCTACGTGACTGATCGGTGACAGGGGGCCACACACTACACAAACTGACAACGACTAAACGACCAAACCACGTTTTGTCAAGAAAAAACAAGTGAAGAAACGGGAAATGACGCAAACCTACAAATAAAACTTCTATTGTTTGTTATTATAAAGATACCAATTACAAAGGCAAAAATATGGGTGAAAGAATGGATTAGCACATGCAGGTAGTAGGGAGTGTCTGAGCTACAGAGAGGTGGAGGTGAGTAAAAAGTGTTAGCTGCCTGCTCTGCCAGCTGCCTGCTCTCATTGGCTGGATGTGGATGTTGAGTTGGCCGACTCTTCCAGATATTTGGCACGCTAGATATCTGGCAGACGTCGGCGATGTGTCAGAAATGTGTCGGGGAGTCATTTTGATGTATCGTTGTGTAGTTCACACATAATGACTGGCGACCGCAGATCGACCGCTGACTTACCCCCGATCACAGCCTGACAGTCGCAGAGCTCGCCGAGGGGCAAATCTAAGCTTAACACGTTAAGCGCCACACATCAATCTTCTCACGCAGTCAAAAACAAATCTATATTCTGATAACGTCGACTAGCAGCAAGAATCATCTCCACCCAGCTCATGACATACGCCGTAATAGTAAAGTAAATGTGCAGAAAGTTTTGAACATGAGCATAAAAGCTGCTGAAACACAGGAGCTATTAAAGTCCAGGAGTTTATTACTGAATAAAAATTAAATCATTTATCATCAATGAAAAAAGGTGCCCCAACAAATAACTTGTTTTGTATTTAGATCTCTGTGAGCAAAATAAATCTTATTTATTCTATCAATTTATCATAATTATTTTGTCACCAACAACTATAGAGGATAATAACAAAGTAAAGAAACAACATTTTGATTTTGGGATGCTTTCCTTGTTGATGCTTTACTTGTTTTTCAGTACGGTTATGGGATGGGAGGGGGGAAAAGTTAGTCTGGATTCCTTAAATAATGCTTTCAGCTGCTGGCACCAGATTAAAATGGAGCAAACTCTAAATTCAGACAAGAGAATTAGGATTAAAAGAGCCTTTTTTTGTTTTCGTCAAATATTTAAAATTATTATAATAATAATTATTATTATTTTCATTTATCTAGTGCATTAATTATTATATCCACATGACCTGGAGGGGTTGCTTTGTGGGGAATTTGTGATTTAAATTTTATATATATATAAAAAAATGTTTTGAATTTTTGGTGATGGTTTGGAAGACTTTGAGTCTAATCAGTGCAGACTCACTGAGTTGGGGGTAAGTGGTGCTCCTACAACATCAATGATCTGCTCCTTGGCTTCCACCTTGATGTCGTCCGCACTCGGCCAGGACTGAGCTTCACTTCCAGGGGTGGATGCTGTATTGCTGTTGGTGACGTTGAGTTCTCCACTCTGCGTCGCTGCAGCTGGTCCGGCCACTGTAATTCCACCACCCCCACCTCCGCTCCCGGCCTTTAGTAGGGCCTCATAGCGATGACGCAGCATCTGTTGTTCGTATTCACAATTGCTGTGGGCCTGCTTCAGCTCGTACAGAAGCACTAGGTCACTACGCAGCTCGTTGAACATCTGAACAATCTCCTCTGTGGGCATGGGGTTAAGGTCTGGATTCACAAAGGCAAAGATGAATGAAAAGTGAGACTAAAGCGCTTTGACTAAAACAACACAAAAATAGTTGAATTAATTGATAGGTTATTATGGTAAGTAGAATATAATGGCATGATGTATGTATTTGTCCCAAACTGTGCAGTACAGTGTAGATAGTGTAGCAAAGCCTTGCTAGTCAGTCTATCCCAAAAGATACAGTTAGTATCTTTAAAATGTCGGGAGGTCCACTTATCTTCCGCTCAGATTTTGCTCTGGTACTGCTCAAACTTGGATTTTGGAGCTAGCGCTGAGCGATTTGAGTGGAGCAGGGAGAGATCTCAGTTGACAGCGAAGAGATATTGAGCGCAGCGGCCTGGATCCGCTTTCAACGACCAGCTTTGTAAGCGAGGACTGGAAATTCTCATCGCTCCATTCCGCTCGCACGCTCTTGCTCCTATTGTATGTCTAAGCTTACTGCTGTTAAACCACACTGTCCTCTTTTTGATTTGTACACATTTCAAAAAAGTCAGAATATTCCCATAAGTGGTTGTTTTTCAAAGTAAAGAAGAAGAAAAAATTATTTTATTTTTATTTTCTCCGCTGTACTGAAAACACCAAACTGGCACCACTAAATACCTAAGATAGGATCTTGTCTGTTTATACTTCTGTTGCAGAGGAGATTTCTAAATGTAAAACTTTGAAATGTTTGCAGATTGTTTAATCACACTCACCCACTCCTTGCTCTATCAGGATCTGCTCAATGGCCTTAATCTTCTTCTGGCCTACTGAGCTTGGCAGTTTCATCTGAATCACACACAAACACGCAGAGAGAAACACACACATGCCAACACACATAAGGGTGTGATTTAAGGTGTCGGAGATATTAGGATAAACAGCTACACCTCGGGGCTTTTAATTCGTATGAAATGCACTTCAGCGAGCCAGATCAAAATGTCTTTATCCACTGAACTCTGTCTGACTGATTAGCTAGAGGGGTACTCCACTCCTTTAGCTGCGCTAATGCATTTTCCATAGAGAGCGGCAGCTCCTCATCAGTCTTAAAGATGAATAAGAGTCCCCTTGCTATGTCTTACAGATATTGGCTAGTCACTAACAGAATTAATCATCACAGTGCTAATGAGAAATAGCTAACCCAAGTCAGACATTCTGGTTTCTCACATACATCAACTGTAGGGTCAAGCTTCACTTAAACTCTTTTTTTATTAATAGATAGAAAAACTTTTGAATTGTTCAAACTGTATGTTTTAACATCAATTCCGATGATAAATGTCAACACAGTACGGAGATTATTTCTGACGACTGTAGTTCCAGGTTTGTTCTTTGTTTCAGATTGAGGTTTTAAGTTCCTCACTGGTATTTGAGAGCCAAAGTCAAGTTTTAAGTTGAAATTGCCTTTCAGAATACTAGTTTTTCTAGTTTTAATACCTTAATAACATCTAACTATACTCACCCTCTGACTGCGCAGTGTGACTCCAGCTGATTTGAAGTCAGGGAACTTGATGCCTGCGGTCTCTGGAACAGCCTAAATAAGAAGAAATAACTGATAAGAGACCAAATATGACAGCCCTCTGAACTTTGAATAGAGCTGACATAAAATAATTATTATGGGATAATTCAGGCCTTAACAATGATTCACAAACTGGGACACAAAAGCCACCACGGTTTATTTGAGAAAAAGCTGTTCCATCAAAATAATATAAAATGATTCATACAAAATATTGAGAGTGAGCTGAATCCTAATTATTTCAGTGCACTATTGCATTGAATAAGCACGCTCATTTCTCAGTTGGCTGCTTTTGCTTTACTTAGCTCACTGTATGAGTGCATATCATACCGGTTTTTCAGTTTCTCTTTTTTGTGGAAGCTTCTTCTTAGAAACCCTCTTTTCGGCTCGCCTTAACTCTGTGGTTGTGTCAGCTGCCTTAATGAGTTTCTGCAGATCCTGGGCCTTCTTCTCACGCTCTTTCTTCCTAGTCTCAATCTTCCTTAGCTCCTGAATAAGATATTCCTCTTCTGCCACCTGCAGGAAAAACAAGAAAAGTGCAATCTTAATTTTTTTAAAAGACTGGCAAACATCTTACAATGTTTTTATTTTTTCACAAAAGACATTAATGCATCAACCCTTCAGTTATAATTGATTTGTGCTCTGCATGATGCTTCTCATCTTGGATGGGCAATCAATTATGAAAGCTTAACAACACCAGAATAAGAATTCAAATCCAAATCAAATTACAAAGTTACTAACTTGTTCAGGTGTGCGATTGAAGAGCTTCTCCAGTTGCTCTTTACGGCGCCTTTCATGGCCTGCATCAAAGATGTAGATCTTGGGTTCTGTGCCTGAAGCTGCACGGACCTTGGTCAGCTTACCACAAATACTGTAATACCGTTCTTTCAGGTCCTCCACAGAACGTTTCTGAAAAGCATAAATGGCAGAATGTTGCAACAAATATGCACTTTAACTTACATCATTATGCATTTTGCAATATATCCTCAGTGCAAAGGAACATGAGTACTGTAGATGAGTGGCTGAATTATTACCCTGTATTGCTGGTAATCATAACGGTCGTGGACAACTACGAAGCGCAGGTCAAAGCGCTTGCACAGGTCAAACAGGTGGTCTGTTTCTCCTTTAGTCCAGCCATCATCATGGAGATGCATCTGATACTCCTGCTCGGAGTACACTGGTACCTGCACTGTCTGTAAAAGGCAGACAGGAGAAGAGAGAATGCAGTGAATCAGTATGAATAACTGACAAGAGTAAGTGTGTATATATCTGAAAAGGAGGAGATGACAGAAGAGTACGAAGGGTAGCTGTAAAAATCCATCCTTTGTGTTTATATTGTATGAGCAGTTAGACTAAAGAGGAAACTTTAGTCATCCCTACCTTATTGAAGCGGGCAAAAGGGTAGTCTTTGCCCTCCTCTGCCACACGTCTCCAGTGGTGGAATATAGCCCCATCCCTGCGTGCTGGATTAGTGAAGGGCATCCACTTCCAGGGACGCACCTTTTTACAGCCAAGCTTGGCTTTTACCGTCCTGTAGCCCTGTGTAGTATCACTAGGCAGCAAAGGGGGTGCATCTCTGGGGATCGAGAGGAAAAACAAGTCTTTGTTAAAGCGAGGGTACACACTATGTGGAAAATCTGCTTTAAGTATTTGGTAATCCAACCAGCTCAATTAGGATATTCAGCACAGACAAACAAATAACATTTTAAAAACATCTAACTCCTTTGCAGTGTCAAGTTGAAAGCTCAAGGATATAGAGTGTAGGTTTTCAGCTATTCCTAGGATGGCATCATAGAAAACACACCAAAAAAATAGACAAGCTCTCCCTCTCAGTGTAGCCTTAACCTGAACCCTTCCACTGCTCGACTGTCTAAACATGCCACTCACTGGACTGTCATTGTTCTTAATATCTGATTCAAACCCTAGAAAATAATGGCATCGGTTGACATTGTTTCCCTTCTTTCTTTGACTCTATTATGAACCATCTTCATCCATAGAAGTGAGAAAATGCTCCCGCTTCTCATTTTTGTCCAGATCCCCTTCCTCATGCAACTTATTACACACACATTTGAAAACCTTACACTGATTTAAGACAAACTCAAAAGGAGCCCATACTTTTTATCTGAATATAGCAGAGCATAGACCTCTCGGTGCATTCCCTCTGGTCTCTTGAAGGTCAGCGTTTCTGTTGTCTTCTTGTTTTTTTTCTGAGACATGTCACGGGAAAAATTGGTTATTTATTTTAAAGAAAACGTTTATAAACAGAAGTATTGCACAAAATAACATACTTTCTGTGGGAATGGCACGGTTTTGTGTTTGAGTCCCACAGCCTGTGTAACGCTTTGAATACTGGGTAAAATGAGGAAAACGTACATGAATACTGGGACAAGCATAATTGTATATTATGATTATCTCTCACCTTGTCTGAGTTGATGAGATCTTTCTTGCTGATAGGACCGTCATTTTCTCCTCCAGTCAACTCCAGAATATCCCTGACATCCGCACCAGTAGCCATTACTTTAAATGTTGTTAATCAGCGCTTCTCACAACCTGTCAAACGTAAACGCAGTTCATTCATTTACAGGCGCCCATTCAGTAATGTGGTAACGTTACTATCCAACGAATACGCTCCTACTAAGCTAAAGGCGAACGCTAACGTTGTTATTTTCTAAGCTACGTTACGTTACATTTACAAACAGCCAAGTAATGATTTTGTAAGATTAGTTTTCGTAATGTTACAGTGAGCGTTTCTACTATACGTTAAAGATGTGAGGCTATTAATAACAATAACTCCAAGCTATTGTTAAGGCTAGGTGAGTAGCTAAGTTAGCCACCTAAACCAACACCACTTCCGTCCCCGATGACGTCGTTGTGATTATAGAGACCTAATCAATAATTGACTGTCGCCCCTGTGAGGTCTGGCGGTAAACTGCATAGTCTTCCTCTTTTTTTTTTTTTATTTCAAATAACTGAAAGTAACACTGAAAACGCCAACAGGGTTATGATACAATAATATAATTATAACAATAGCTCAACGAATAATTTAGATAAACTTGTTGATACATGAAATAAAACATTCTTAATGTGATTTGTTGTTGTTTGTTTGTTGTTTTGTGTTTGAATTAGAGAAACACTGAATAACAACAGTTCTTTGTGAGACCTTTTCTCAGAAGAGAACTACAAGGACAGGTTTGAGAACAGGTTTAAGAACTACAAGGACAGGTTTGAGAACAGGTTTAAAAACATCAATCACCTTGTTGTAAACAAATCAGTTTTTATCTTTATCTTGCTTTATCTCCAGGTAAATCATCCTTTCTTTTGTTTTCTTTTCAAACTGACAGCTGGCAGATAACTGAAAGTGACTTCTTAGTGACATCATCAGTTATGTAAAACATTGCCCTCTAGAGAATTATTTAGGGCAAAATGGACATTGTTATGCACAAGTGTCACAAGTGAAATTACTGACCAGATTTACAAGGGTCTGGCTGTACTGGGATACTCTGAATAGATCATTGTCCTCCTTCGTGCATACAGGAAGAAATTAAAGCTGTGTAAAGCTGATGTGAGGACATCAAAGCAGTTAAAGACTGTACTGGACTGTATTGACAGATGTCTATGAAGATTCTCAGTCATCCAGGTCATAGTTATCCAACGAAGGTTAAAATCAAGGGCAACTGGACTTGGTTGAAGATACTGGAAGACGTTTCGTCCCTCATCCAAAGGACTTCTTCAGTTCTGACTGACTGGCAGGGAAACTCAGCTATTTAACCTCAGTGGGGTCGTTGGCCCGGGTCATTGATACCGCTGGTTCGTTAGTGTTCCTTGTTGCTGTGACGACAGCCATGCTTCTGTCTGTAGAATCCACCGTTGTACTGGAAGTAGGTGGTGTTTAGACAGAGGTCGAGTAATTTGCAGATTTGGTCAGGGCTGAGTCTAGTTCTGTTGTCCAGGGTGTTGTCCATTTCCTAACGGTTCAAGGATCTGCAATCAAGGAAGCCATCTACACCAGCGTTGAGAAGCCGTCATTGAACAGGGGAGGGGGTCTACGCCACCACTTATCCCCCACTTACAATGCTGTCCTTTCATCACTTCCCAGGAAACTCAACAAACGTAACCTATTGGCCTCAGGTGAAGATACCAACGATGGTCGTTCAGTCTTGGCCACAGGTAGTCCTAACGACTGTAACGACTGTCGTCACAGCAACAAGGAACACTAACGAACCAGCGGTATCGATGACCCGGGCCAACGACCCCACTGAGGTTAAATAGCTGAGTTTCCCTGCCAGTCAGTCAGAACTGAAGAAGTCCTTTGGATGAGGGACGAAACGTCTTCCAGTATCTTCAACCAAGTCCAGTTGCCCTTGATTTTAACCTTCGTTGGATGTACTGACAGATGTTTTCATGAATGCTACCAACAGTCTGTAATGTTAAATCAGGGATCTGTGAGGACGGAACTAAGGTTCAATGTTGTAACATTGAACCTTAGTTGTCAGTTGTCAGCTAAACTCAGACAGCTAAGGCTGCAAAAGGAAGAAGCATTTAGAAGTTCGGACAGGGACAGGTTTAGAGAGTCAAAGTATGGGTTTAACAAAGTGGTTAGAAAAGCTAAACGACTGTACTATGAGTCCCTGCTTACACCTGGCACTAACATGCATCTTGAGTGATCCGATCACAAGTGGACAGCTCTAAGTACAGGTGTGAATGCATTTCTCACCGAGGACATTTGCTCAGACCAGCTTCAGAGGTGGTAAGTGTTAAACAACAAGAAGAAAACACACCAACAATAGCAAAATTGATTCTCATTGATGGAGTTCACATGAAACAAGTTGTCTGATGTCTTCTGGCCTCGACTCTCTGTTATTTATTGAGTTACCTGATCGACATATAGCATTACTTGTTGCTAAAGTAACGCTAGCTGACTCTGACTGAAATGTAAGCATGGAGCGCCGGGGGATCATTGCTGTTTACACCACTAGCACAGGACCACCGCTGCAGGAAGGACCTAATAAAGCTGAAAACCCTTTATTTAAGCTTTAAAGCTAATAGGCCGCCAGCAGCTACAAAATATGAATCAAGCAAGAGTTTATTGTGTTTCCAACCTAATTCACCTTGTGGTCTGATAAAAAGTAAATGCATTTGGGCTTTGCAAACAGAAATTATGTACTTGCTTATTTGCATGAAGGACAGTGAAGTTAGACCCAATAACAAGTGTTGACTTGAGACACATGTGAAACATATTGTATTATCAGGTGTGAACTGACATGCTAGAACTCTTCACTTGTGATCATACCATCCAAGACACATGTTAATGCAGTCTCTAGGAAACTCCAACACCCGTTCTCATCCAACAACTCTGGCGCTGTCTGGAAGGGGCTCAGACAGATTGCAAAGTACAAACCTAAAGCCCCCCACACCATTGACGACTCGTGCCTGTCCAACAAACTGAAAGAGTTCTACGGTCTCTTTGAAAGAAAATGGGACAGTTCTGACACCATCCCCCATGACTCCATCAACCAGCTCCCCCACCTCAGAAGATCAGAAGTTCAGAAGGAGCTTTATTACCAAGTAGTGTTTTACACATATGAGGAATTTCCTTTGGTGATAAGGTGCTACACGTAGACAATCATACAGTCGACATAAATAAATGTAGAAATATATAAATATGGAATAGAAAAACAACGTTGCAGATACATACATGTGCATTATTCTGGGTCTGTGCCGTGCAGAAGTAACGCAACGGAAGATTATATTATATATTATATAGATACTGTATACATATAAATATAATCTGACAACAACAAAGATCAACAATCAACAACAAATATGTGCAACGTGCCAGGCCTGTGCACGACACGAGATGAAACAGTATTTACATGTGCAGAGACATTTGTATCATTTGCAAGGGGGGAATGTCTGTGGGGGACCCGGGACTTGTTAATGAGTCTAGCTGAAGACGGGAAGAAGCTGTTTATCAATATATCAAGCTTGAGCCCCTTTTGATGTCTATGTGTGCACGTGCCTGGTGTGCACGTGCCTGGTCCTGATGGACCTCAGCCTCCTGGGCTCTTTCTAAACTCCACGACCATCTCCACTGTCTTCTGAGTGTTGAACTCCAGACTGTTCTGGCTGCACCAGGTCACCAGATGGTCGATCTCCCACCTGAGATGAGCCCAATGAGGGTGGTGTCGTCCGCAAACTTCAGCAGCTTGACAGACTGGTGACTGGAGGTGCAGCTGTTGGTGTACAGGGAGAAGAGAAGGGGTGAAAGAACACAGCCTTGAGGGGATCCGGTTCTGATGGTCCTGGAATCATAGACATGTTTTCCCAGCTTCACGTGCTGCTTCCTGTCCGTCAGGAAGTCTGTGATCCACCTGCAGGTGGAGTCAGGCACGTGAAGCTGGGAGAGCTTGTCCTGCAGCAGGGCTGGGATGATCGTGTTAAAAGCAGAGCTGAAATCCACAAACAGGATCCTGGCGTAGGTTCCTGGGGAGTCCAGGTGCTGGAGGATGTAGTGAAGGTTTACTGCATTGTCTACAGACCTGGTGGCTCTGTAGGCGAACTGCAGGGAGTCTGTGATTGATTTTAGGTGGGACAACACAATGTGTTCAAAGGACTTCATAACCACAGAGGGTAATGGGTCTGTAGTTGTTTAGTCCTGTGGTCCTTGGTTTCTTGGGGACAGGGATGATGGTGGAGGCTTTTGCTGCGTTCCATTTACCTCGGAAGTCGGAGGTCGGAGCTGGGAATGACGTCACACCCAAGTTGACGCCGTTCCAATTAACAAGTCGGAAAACCTCGCTCGGCCAGTTGTTTACAACTAGCCAGGTTAGCTATTGACACGCCGGTTGATTAAAAAAACGCATTGTGCAGTATTTACTCACACTAAACACTGTAGCAACATGTCCACAGACAGCTGTTGGACAGCACTTTGTGTACGAACATTTATATGAGTCACTGTTGATACCCCGACAGCCATCTTGGATCACGAAGTCGGGGTAGTGCGGTTCTCCCAACTTCCCAAGTTGGGATTCCGACTTAAGGGGGCGTTCCCTTTGAAATTTTGACCTTTGAACTCGGAAATTCTGACTTCCCATGTCAACTGGAACACACCATTTGAAGCAGGCTGGCACATGGCATATCTCCAGTGAGGTGTTAAAAATGTCTGTGAACACCGCTGACAGCTGATCAGTACAGTGCTTCAGGGTGGATGGGGAGACAGAGTCCGGCCCAACTGCTTTGCGGGCTTTCTGCCTCCTGAAAAGACCGTTGACTTCCCTCTCTGTGATGGAGAGAGGAGGGGAGGGGGTGAAGCTGGCCAGCTCTGAGGAGGGGGGGAAGAAGTGGTGGACTGAGGCTGAAGCTGAGCGGAGGAATCACGGGGGATGGTGTCCGATTGACTCGGCCATGAAGCGGCAGTAGAACTGGTTCAGCTCATTTGCCAGGCGAGAATCGTTTATGGAGTGGGGGACTTTGGGTTTAAGGGTAATTTATACTTCTGCGTCGAATCGACGGCGTAGGCTACGGGGCTATGCAGAGGCTACGCCGTCGCCTGACGTGCACCTCCTCAAAAATGTATTTACACATCGAGTCGACGCGGACCGTAAGCACAGTGATTGGTCGGCTGGGTAGCCTCGCAATGCCTCCAAGCTGACCGGAAGTATCCAGCGCTTTGAAGTAACTTTTACTAGCGGCCAAAACGGAGGCTGTAACACTGTGAACTAATATATTTGACCATCGCAACCCGAGCAAAATGACTCAGAATCAGAATGTGATCAATTCGCTCGGTAACATTTGAAAAGGCTACACCAGCCGCACATATACAATTTTACCCCCATTTACGTTAGCGGAGCGCTAAACTGGAAGTTAGCCTGCTCAGCCGGCAAAAGTCAGCCTGCTCAGCCGGCAAAAGTCAATACGGTGGACGCTGCAGCGCTACTGCCGACTAGCGTTTGTGGGTGTAATCGCAGAATGATTGACACACCTAACACCTAACAAGTATAAATGCATGGTTACGTGCATAGCCTACGGCGTAGGTACACACGTAGACCCAGCGCAGGAGTATAAATGGGCCTTTATAGTTTGTGATCTGTCTGAACCCCCTCCAGACAGAAGTGGCGTCGTTTGCAGAAAACTGGTTCTTTAGTCTCTCTGAGTACAGTCGTTAACGCCCTGCACCTGGCCCTGTCACCACTCCTAAATGCCTCCTCCTTTTCCAACCTTAGATTAGATTAGATTAGATTAGATCAGCCTTTATTTGTCTCACAGGTGAGAAATTTCAACATTACAGCAGAAAGTGGATAGCATGGAATAAAGTAAAGTGATAAGTGACATTAACATAATACTAACAATATCAAAATTCAAAGATGTCTGAGTTTAGCTGTAAACCAGGGTTTGTCATTATTATAACACCCCCTGGTGTGTGTTGGTATACATGTGTCGTCACAGAAGCTGATGTAGGACGTCTCAGCCTCAGCAGGGGTCCTTTTCACAACTACTCTCCTCAGAGGCTCCCCCCCTCCCTACCACAATGATGACTCTCCATCCTGGAGAGGGACGTTAACAGGCTTTTTAAGATCTCTGCAAAGCAGCTGGGCAAGAGTCTCTCCATCCACCCTGCAGCTTTGCAGCGATCAGCTTCAGTGTTTGCATCTTCAACAGCTCACTGGAGACATGCCACGATCAAGTTTCCTTCAAGTCCTCCCATCATCCCTGTCCCCCTAAAAAACAAGGACCACTGGACTTAATGACTACAGACCAGTAACCCTGACCTCTGTGGTAGGATGAAGTCTTTTTGAGCGCCTCAAGTTTGACTTATACTCCTGCGTAGCTTACGCTTAAAGTGCAATTTATACTTCTGCATCAAATTGATGGCGTAGCCTCTGCGTAGCCCCCTACCCTACGCTGTCACCTACGGTGTAGCCTGACGTGCACCTCCTCAAAAATGTAACTACACGTTGCTGTCCCACCTCAAATCCATTACTGACCACCTCCTAGACCCGCTGCAGTTTGCCTACAGAGCTAACAGGTCTGTAGTTGATGCAGTGAACATGGCTTTCCATTTCATCTTTCAGCACCTGGACTCATCAGCAACCTATGCCAGGATCCTTTTTGTGAACTTCAGCTATCATCCTGGCTCTACTGCAGGACAATTTCTCCTAGCTTTTGCTACTTCCTGTCCGACAGGAGGCAGCATGTGAGGCTGGGGAAATATGTCTCTGACTCCTGGACCATCAGCACGGATTCCACTAAGACCGCATCCTTTGCCCTCTACTGTTCTCCCTGTACACCAACAGCTGCACCTTCAGTCATTAGTCTGTCAAGCTGCTGAAGTCTGCGGATGACACCACCCTCATTAATTCATCTCTTATGGGGATTAGTACAGGTGGGAGATGGACCATTTGGTGCAGTCAGAACTACATGGAGCTCGACGCTCTTGCGATTGAACATCAGCTCCCTCTCAAAAATAGCCCAGCAGAGGATGTACTTCCTGCAGCAGCTGAAGAAGTCCAACCTGCCAAAGACAATGATGGTGCACCACCATCAATGGGTTTTTCCTCACCAAATCCTCACCATCTGGTATGGTGCTGCCACTTCCGGGGACAAGGACAGACTGCAGCATATCATTAGTTGAACAGAGAAGGTGATCGGCTGCAATCTGCATGTCCTTGTTAACCCTAAGACCCTGAGGTGTGCAGGAAAGACTGTAGCTTGTGTCCCCCCACTCCCCCATTTCTATTAACTAGTTTACGCATCTGACTCAATGCGTTATATGAGCAGCACAAATATTCTTTATACTGTGAACCTTTGCACATTCCCTGGTCAATATTTTACACATCCCTGCACAAAACTGTACAGCTCTTTCATTAATTTAAATCAGAGTCACATAATACTTTTTTTTTAAAGTATTTTTCATGTTGTTTTATATTTATGCTTCTTGACTTGATTGAAGTTTATTGAAGCGTATTGTTGTACCACTACACCAAGGCACATTCCTTGTATATGACTACTTGGCAATAAACCTGATACTGATTCTGACTTTAATTAATTTTGATAAATTTATTTTCTTTGTGCAGCCTTGTGTTGTAGAATGGCAAGTAAATCTACCTTGAACCAGTATACATCCTAGATGTGTGAGCAATCTGATTCCTTACCAGGTCATCATACAGGATCCAAAAAGGCAGGGCATCAAATTGAAAACATGCTAACTATGGTCTCCTGAGCAATTAAGTCTGTGTAAATCCTACGCTGGCACCATTGGATAACATATGAGTTTCAAAAGGTATTTGTTCTTCCATGGACTGCAGCCCATCATTGGGTTGTTATTTTTATGCTACTGTTATTTACACAAACTAAAATATGGTTATTTTGACACAACAAGCTCATGTTTACACAATTGCAGTTTTCTTGTTAGTTACAAAACAATGTGCACAAGATGTTCAAAAAGTAAAAAAAAAAAAAAAAGGTAGTACAAAAGCTATTAACAACCTGAACCAAATAGTCTACAATTTCATTTGACACAATTTTTTTTTTTAAAATAATTTAATTTTATGTTTATTTTTTCTGCATCCCCGCCAAGAATTGCATGAATCGCCAACTAGCCTGCTGTTTAAAAACGTTGTAATATTTTTTGTGGGGTTCATAAATGGGGAATGATTCAAAGCATATATTTTATGAACGTTTAGAGTCATCAGTATTGTATTACACTTAGTAGAAGTAGCATTCCTTGACATTCAGAAAAATGTGGTCTAAAAAGGACTTTAGCAGGTGGATGCATTAATCGGCAGAACTGATGATGTAGGCTACCTGCCGAGATTTACATCCATCTCTTTTCTCTACATATTGCATGCGAATCTCGGCGGGCATGCAGAACTCGCCACAACCCCTATGGACCTGGCAATGTTATTCTGAAAATCCCATATGTGCCTTTACTTTTGAAAGTAAACACCGGATGTAGACTTGGTTTTAAAATTCCCAGCATTCCTTGCGTCCTAGCTCAGACTGCGCCCGTCGCCATCTTCTGTAGCTGGTGTCGGAGACTTGTTTGGCGTAGTCATCAAGCTAACTCTTATGTTCCATTAAGATCACTTTTAAAGGCGCTTGAGTCGTTAATATCAACAAAGATAGTTTGCGATAACACCGTTTAATTTAGCAAGACACTAAACTACGCAAGATGTCCAACGAGCAGGCCGAAAATACTACCGAGGCTGTAGGCCAGCAACAGCCGCCGCAGCCGCCGCAGCCGCAGCAGCAGGGGTAAGTCCATTCATCAGGGTTTCTTTGTTGGCGCTTTCTAGCTAGCTAGTTAGCCGAAACTATTCTAATCCACGCGAATGTTGTGCGTAGTCCATTTTTAACGAAAAAAGGTTCCCGTAGTTATATCATGAGTTAATTACATATTTTAACGCTCAACATGTGGTGAAGTTTCATGTTTATATGCGTTTTTTTATTGTTAGGTGTCGTGTGTTTGGGACCCGTCTATGTAAGGGAGAACCCATCCAGTTTACGTAATAGATAGTAGCTTCACACAGCTAACGTTACTTCTTAAAAAGTTAGTGATTTTCATTTTCTATTCGTTTGCAATTTGATTTTAGATATAATAATTAAAATGATGTGACGTACATTCAATGTAATTTTAATACAAGCCCATTTTGAGAGCAATCTTAACGTTACCATGCGGCTTCAGCGTAACGATAATCGTCTTGATGGCAAACCATTGCAGACTATAATTACAGTTTAAACTATCGTAACTCTCTAAATTTGTACCTGTTTTACAATATGACTAACTGTATTTTTAATCACTGAGAAGCCTAGTCCTTTTTGTCCCGCTAATGGATTTAGTTCCGGCAGTAACGTTAGCCTCATTTAGGCCCTACTAAAGGAGCAATGGCCACAAGTATAGTCAAAATGTTGTGGCCTGTGTTTTTTTTTTGTTTGTTTAGTAGGTTATAGTATTACTAGAAAATGTGTTAAGTAATTATACACTTAGCTCTTATGTGTAATTCTATATATTTCTGCAGTCATCTGTAAAAGCTGTGTGCTTGTGTAAATGGTGTGGGGTTTTTTTTACTCACTGTATTAACTTAATTCTTCACAGAGAAGTGAATGGAAAAGTCAAGCATGAACCCAATTCCAGCAGGAAGGAGAGGCCCCAGAAGAGAGGTGGAGGCGGGCGCTACGAACCCTATGGAAATGCGAACAAGAGATACAGGGTTTTTGTCAGCAACATCCCATATGATGTGAAATGGCAAGCCCTGAAAGACCTGATGAAAGAAAAAGGTAAGGTTTTAAGGGATTGACTCCGTCAGCTTTGGACATGACAAAATGATGCAGCATCCTAGGTCACTTTGTTTGACCACTGCAGCTCTGAGGGGCTTTTGGGAATTTGTGCACGGACCTTAGTTGTACAATGTTGCTTGAGATCTTGTGGGAGTTATTTGGAACAAGGGTTTTGGGCGAGGTCCCTCTTATTTGTCCGTTAACTAAGGATTTGCTACAGACTTGCACAAGTGCTGTGAACCTGGACGTTAGACTGAACATTTAATCTCAATTGAGATTACTAAAACCTTTTGTGGTTTGTGAAGTGGAGGTTGTACATGTGTAAAGCTGGTCCACTAATGTGAAAATCCAAATGGCTTGGGATCATGAGTGGCATAATGAGATGCTTTTCCCCAAGAAATGCATGAAAAAATATACAGTACATTGCTGTAATGATTTTGCATAGAGACAATGAACAAACTGCAACATGTAACGGTAAAGCCTGAGCCTTATAATTTTATAAATAAAACTTCTGGAGACATGTCAAACGATATCATTTGTGATGCAGCAACTTTTGAATTTCAGCAGGGATTATCCTAAAGTTCTCTATGAAATGTACAATATGGATTTACATGTGCTGTTACTCATGAGAAAGTACGTGTAGTTATGGGGTATTGGAAAGCGATGTATCATAAGTAATGCATTAAAATGGCATTTACTTGAAGTTAAAACATGTGTTTAGAAGGGTAAAATCCTTTTTCAGAAGGAGTGCCTGGTATTGGTGTTATGACAACTGACTGTGGAGTTAAATTGCATTTTCTTTTTTAGGTGTGACATTGACAAGCCAAATGTTTTCTCAGCAGATCTCCATGTTGTGCCAAACACAGCTATGCGTTGGGGATGTCTTTGGGGTACAGGTCTACAAAATGAAGCAACTTCTTATGCTCTGTCCTTGTCTTTAGAGGTTTGATCACTGATTCGTTGTACAGACCCGTGATCTGGAACGAAGGCGTGACTGGTCGACGCTGAATCAAAATTATGATATTGTGCATTTCAGGAACAAGTCCACTTTGACAAATGTTTGCAGTTAGAGAAGTTTCTTTCCCTTAAGAGTGTGACGTCATTAAGATTATGGTTAGTTTTCTAGCTGTAAGTTCCTTCTTAGGCTCAGCTGATGGGCGAATGTATTGATGCATTAGCCTGAGGTTTTAAAATGGCGACATTTTGACAAAATAGGCACAGGTTTGCAATGAAATGGGCTGAGGCATCGAACAGGTATTGCCTACTTGAAATTATTTGGTCAATTATCCTCAGGAAGAAGGTGGTGGTCACTGCATTATATCCAAATAGGAAGGCTGATGGCCATTTCAACAGTTGTTGTCCTCAGTCTATTGCTTTTGGTGCTTCGGGAGAATTCCAACAAGGACAGGCTAAGAAGTCTATTTTTTTTTTTTTTAAAGACCCAAGCTTGCTTTTTGTAGACCTGTACCATATTGTGCTGCTGCTGAGGTGCTGGGGGAAGGCTCAGGACTGGCAGTCTGAGCTCACTGTCACCGGCCGCCCTACTTGTGTTTCTCCTCTAAACCCCCATTGTTCTCTCGGCTTCTCTCCCCTTGGTGTGTGTCGTCTCTGGAATCTGATTTGTAGTGGGTGAGGTAACGTACGTGGAACACTTAATGGACGCAGAAGGCAAATCGAGGGTAAGTGCAAATACATACAAATAAAACATGAATAATCCTAGACAAACCTGTGTTTGTCTGCTTTGGTTTCTTTATTTTCTCTGTTGGGAATTGTTCAGATTCAGAAACCTGGTGGAGTGTGTGTGAGATGGTGACATGCTGGAGGCATGTTTTATTTGGTGTCGTCTGTGGCACTGACTTGAGGTCATCCTGAGGGTTGATGTTCTTATAACAGGACTTCAGCTTTCTTTGTAGCCAATCCTGTGGGGTTGCAGTAGCCGAAAATGTCCCTTTGGTTGCTGGATTTGCTCCTCATGAACTAAAGGGGTCTAGTCTGCAAGAGGTTGTTACAAGGATGTTAGATGGTTTGTTAAATAGAACTCATTCCGTAGAACTGCTTTACTGGAAAAGTTCCCTCCAATGTCTTAGTAGTGGGGAATCCTATCTCACCTGTGGATTTTCTGCCCTTGGGATGTTGGAATAATCTCTTAATAATTCACCAGACTTGACTGCATTGTGTTAGTGACTCGTTAAAAAAACAGATGTTAACATTGTATTTGGAAGCACAGAGTTGTGGCCAGGGCTGTATGCTTATGTGAACTTTTTTATTGTGCATGAAATGTTCAATTTTCTGCTTAATTGTGTCAAAATGTGTGATAACCATTGCTTTTCCTAATTTAAATTATTGTTTACTCTTCTTGGTGTGGCCTGTTCTGTCTTCAATCAACAAAGGGTTGTGCGTAAGTCTGTCTTTTTTTATCGTTTCAAATTGTTTGTGTCACTGCTTCTCAGATTGACCAAATGTGGAAATCCTGTTTTGTTGCTTACACTCACAGGATGTACGGTCTATATTTCTGTCAGTGTTGTTGAGTTTAGGACTGAGGAACTAATGAAGAAAGCAGTGGAGAAGGTCAACAAGCATAACCTCAATGGACGACCCCTAAAAGTGAAAGAGGTAGGCTACAGCAAGAATGACCAGAATAACAAAAGGCAGCAAAGAGACCAAAATATCAGGGGTGGGTTTTTCCTGAGTCATATTTTCATGCTTTTTGTTAGGACCCCGATGGTGTGATTGCTCAGAGAGAAATCAACAAGGCTCCAGTTGGAGGGCCTCCAGGAGGCCATGGTGGAATGGGAGGAATGGGTGGAATGGATCGCATGAACATGGATCGAATGGGCCCAGGACCTACTGGGCCCATGGTCAACATTCCTCCTAGCCTGATGAACAACCCCAACATCCCCAATGAGATCATCCATGGTCTGCAGGCTGGCAGGATTGGCAGCACTGTCTTTGTGGCTAATGTGAGACGTCCCACTGTTTTTTTTTTTATCATCCAAAAATCCCCAAATCTATGGAATTAAGAAATATGAAAAAAGAGAAGCAGCAAATACATTTGAGAAATTGTCTCTGGTTTGGGAAAAAAAAAAAAGAACTGTCAGTTTAATTAAACAATATTGTTTGTATCATACATGGTGAGAAACCTCTTAGTCTGACTTGTCTTTGTAGTCTTGCTTGTGGATAAACAACTGACCATTTCTCAATTTGCTCCTTGTTCCTACAGCTTGATTACAAAGTGGGCTGGAAGAAGCTGAAAGAGGTATTCGGCATGGCGGGCATGGTGGTGAGGGCCGACATTCTAGAGGACAAGGATGGGAAAAGCAGAGGCATGGGCACAGTAACATTTGATATGCCCCTTGAAGCTGTCCAAGCTGTCTGTATCCTTTGGAAAATGTTGGAATACCTAATTTAAGCGTATGCATCGAATGTTAATTCAGTAGAATCACACTGTTTCAAAATGTCTGGTACGCTTTCCTTAATGATTTTACAGCTATGTTCAATGGGCAGCTGCTGTTCAACAGAGTCATGCACGTCAAACTGGTATGTTGCCTAAACTTCACTGTAAGTTGGTTCACATGGTATGTGGTCTGAATGAACTTGTTTTTTGCTTTTGTTAAGGATGAGAAATCCCTGCCCAAAGATTTTGGACCACCTGATAGAGCTGCTGCTCTTCCCCGTAAGTATACACTTAAACAAAACACAAATGTTCTGCTAATGTATATAGATACTTTCAGTGACTCCTGTGTATTTAGTCACCTACACTGCTGGAGGACCAGATGACACTGGCCACTGTGGATTGTTAGAATATCCTTTCCAGTTAAATTTACTTAAATTTGTTGCAGAACTGGAATTTGTTTTTGTGTGTTTTTGTTCTTTTGGATGAAGAGTAAAATCACCCATAACAGTGACACGGCTAGCCACTTAAATATTGCCAAATGTGACATACACTGGGTGGTCTGTTAGGAGCCACTGGGGCCTCTGTGACATCCTGAACACTTAAGTATTGAACAACCATTTCAGAGGTCTCCATGGTTTGAGTGCTTTGTCTACAGATATGTTTCTAGTCAATATTTCTGTAGACAGTGTTTTAATCCTGTACCCATTTTCTCTGAGCAGGTGGTCTGAGTGGAATTGGTTTAGGCCTGGGACCTGGTGGCCAGCCCATCGATGCTGCCCAACTCAACAGAGGAGGTGGTGGTGGAGGAATGGGCAACATGGGCCATGGTGGAGGTAAGTAATGTCACGGTTTTAATAAAAAAAAAGTAAATAAAAGATACCAGTGGAATCAGTAGCTTATCATTTCTTACTTGTAGGAATGGATGGGATGGGTGGCTTTGGCAACATGGGAGGTCGTATGGGAGGAGGAGGAGGAGGAGGAGGAGGTATGTACTGAAGATTCTACAGTGGCTGGGTTCCTTAACTGTATTCACCTCTAATGATGAATTTACGTTTAAAGCAAACTGAATATTTCCTCTTACCACATTCAAAACTTTTAAACAGTATAATCCCATTTCAAATCCCTGACATGTTATGGGGAAACACTGGCAGGATGATTTTAGCTCCCAAATGGCTTAACGGCTTGAGCACAGCAAATTATATCAAGCTCCCAGTGTTATGTATCATAAAGGCATCAGATTTCTATAGCCAGCATGTCCATCTGTGTGGGTTTTTTGTGCCCTTTGGTATTAATACTTCTCTATTCTAGGAATGGACAATTTTGGAGGAATGAACAACATGGATCGTTTTGGTTCGTCAGGGATGGGCAGAATGAATGGTAATATGTTTTGAGGCTTCATAAGCACTGTGTAAAGTAAGCGTGAAACTTACTAAAGTTTCTAATGGTTTCATCTCTTGCATTGTCAGACATGGACCGTGGGATTGGTGGCGCTTTTGACAGGGAGTTTGGGCGAAATGAAATGGGCATGTCTCGCAATAATTTTGGAGACTCCTTTGAAAGAGGAATGGGTTAGTATTCTCAGGATGTTGTTTGAAAACCATCTGATAGTCATCAGATTTAATGCTCACTTCAGTTTAGGCAATCGATTTAACTTTTTGTCTTGTTTGCTCTCTTACTTTATAGGTAACTCCCTGGGTATGGACCGCATGAACTCTGGAATGGACCGCCTGGGAACCGGCATGGACCGCATGGGAGGGATGGACCGGATGGGCATGGACAGGATGGACCGTGTGTCTGACCTGGACAGGCTGGGTTCTGGGTTTGACCGGATGGGCTCGGGGATGGACCGGCTGGGGCCCAGTATGGACAGGCTTGGACCTGGCTTGGACCGTATGAGCTCCAGCATGGACCGCCTCGGCCCAGCTGGGTTTGACCGTTTAGGCCCGTCTGGTTTGGATCGCGTGGGTTCCGGCATGGATTTTGGCTCCCCAATGGGAATGGATCGCATGGGCAACACTGGGCTTGACAGAATGGCCAGCAGCTTCGACCGCATAGGCTCCGCTGGAGGGCTGGACCGCTTCCCCACCGGTGGCCTCGACCGCATGAGCTCTGGGATGGATCGGATGGGGACTGGAGGTGTTGGTGGTCAGTTTGATCGTTCTGCTGAGTTGGATCGTGGATTTGGTGGGAACTCCTTTGGAGGAGCTGGAGGGCCTGGAACTGGGGGAGGCAACGTGAGGAAGGGATGCCAGATCTTTGTCAGAAATGTAAGTCTTTGTCTACAGAGTAGTTTGGGTTAATTAATTTGATCATCATTGTCTCAAATATGATAATGAATTTTGAATGGATTTTGCTTTTCAGCTGCCATTTGACTTCACCTGGAAGATGCTGAAGGATACCTTCAATACATGTGGTAAGAGTCGCAGTTTGTAAATATAAAATCAACAGTAGCTTGCTATTTTACATTAGGATGGCTTCTAACATTGGCCCTTTTCCCCTCTGTCATCCCTCTGCAGGCATGGTCCAGTACGCTGATATAAAGATGGAGAACGGCAAGTCCAAGGGCTGTGGTGTGGTTCGTTTCGACAACCCGGAAACTGCAGAGCGTGCCTGCCGGACCATGAATGGCTATCGGCTGAATGGACGAGAGATTGACGTTAGGATTGATAGGAATGCATAAGTTATTTGTCTGTAACCTCTGACATTTAATTTAGTCACTGTCCAGGCCCTCTGTATGATCTGAATTGCCCTTCTGCATAGTCATATTATACTCATTCACTTGGTTTCTTGGGTATTTGTAATGGTGAAATGTTATTTTAGTTAGTAATTTGTGAAAGTGTTTTAGTTCTTGCTTAAATTTTTACTTTTTTTTTTTTTTTTTTTTTTTTTAGAGACCAAATTTTAAATTTTTCTGTTGTGCTTCACCTGTCATTGCCTTTGTTCTATAAGGTGTTTTGATAAATAAACCCCAATATTTGAAATCCTTTTTGAATTGTTTGTGTGATTGTATTACCCATCATTGGTGACCAGTCCTTATTAACTTGAAGCTTTCTTGTGACTGGTTAGGTTAGTTTGCATAATGAAAGTATTTAATGAACGTTTTACTGTTATTGATGCTGGGTAACGGTGCATGTAGTTAAATGCCAGTTTTAACAAGGGGGGGGGGGGGTAGTCTTTGGAGGTGTCGCACGAGCTCTGAGACAATTGGACCCTCCTACTTGGATACGGAAAGTCACAACCGGAAGAAGGTCATGAGCTTTACATTCAAGATGGCGACCCCCTTGTGTCAGTGTTACCAGGTGAGTGGTTGAGACTTTTGTGTTGAATATGAGCATTTAAACACCAGGAAATAAGGGGAGAAATTTAAAGGGTATTTTTGAACTGCCAGTTCACCGCGGATCGTGAGTGTCAAGAGTCTTATTCTGAGGAAGCTGCTAATGTAGCGTTAGCTAGGTAAGTTAGCTCTTTGAACATTAAGTTGTCCAGCCGGTGTTTGAACTCCGAAGCTCGGGACAAGTCTTTCTTTAAATAAAATGTAAACATTGGTGTGTAGCTGCATGTTCAAGCTTTTCAATATGCATGTGTCTGCCTATCGATTATAAACTCATTACTTTCTTTTACTGGCATGTCATTGTCATAATTTTACGCGGGGTGTTGTACCTAAATATAGGTTTCGTGTTAATGATTTATCACGTCCAACTGTGAAGCGTTGATCTCCAGCGTCTCTAGTTTGAGCTTGATTTTGTATGTCTGTCTTCTCTTCAGATATGTGTAAAAAGAGGCTTTGTGGCATTTCCAACCTCTTCCCTGCTACTTCACAACAGACCCAACATTTACAGGATACATGGGCTCCTCACATGCTCTTCACAGGTACGAACAGCTGAATTACGCTGTGTTACTGCCATTGCCTCTTTCTGGATATTCTGAAGCTGTATTTTGCAGACTACGTGTCACTATCTGGTTTCCTCTGTGCATAGGTTTCCCTGTTATGTTGGATTATGCTCTCAACCCCAAGAAACCTCACTGCATTTTTATTTATACAAATCATAAATACAGACCTATAGTTGCTTTATGTACTTGGATAGTATTGTTGTAACCTAGCAAAATGAATACACACTAAGTTGCCAGTTAATATGAACATCTGGCTAAGACTAATGCAGTCTGATGCAACAGTCCTCCAATATATCTTGCAGCCATGAAGTTATAATGTCCAGTCTTTGAAATAGTTTTAGTGAGGGAATTATTCAGCTGTGTGGTAATATTGGAAGATGTATTTTGTGGTGTTGTTGAACTGTATGGTGTTTCTGTTATTGAGTCTACCCTCACTGATTTAGAACATTATAACCCTCACAATGTAAGGATTTATTGCTGGAGTGTTGTATTATACTGCACTGAACCTTTTTGTTTTTTTTTGTTTATGCTTGATATTATGCACAGCACTTTGTAATCTGTGTTTAACCAAGGTGCTAAATAAAGTTTTACTCCTGTTGATTTTGAAAGTTTTCATACTTGTTTCCTAACTAAAGTTCTGAGCAGTGAGGTACACCTTTCCTGCAGATTTGAATAATGTGTGTTTAATCAAACTGCTCCAGACACGCTTGGAGTAAATTAATCGTACGTGTTGTTTTTTTATTCATACCAACAAGGTGCTTCAGTCACCCCTTCTGCAAGTACGGTATTTGTCAGGGGAGAGGGGCGGTGGCAGAAAAGGTTTCCTGGGGGAGTTTCTGGACAACCTGAAGCAGGAGCTGAACAAGAACAAGGAAATGAAAGAAAACATCAAGAAGTTCAGAGAAGAGGCCAAAAAACTTGAGGAGTCGGAAGCACTGAAACAAGCCCGAAGGAAATATGTTAGTATTTGGCCACACACAGAATTTCTATCCATGCTAATATGAAAAAAACTAAGTGTTAAGTCTAAAAGTTCCAATGCATTTTTACCAGTGTTTTTTCTTCCCCAGAAAACTATAGAGTCTGAAACAGTGAAGACCTCTGAGGTTCTCAAGAAGACGTTGGGAAACCTCTCTGAGTCAGTTAAAGAGGTAAATGTTATAGGTATCTCTCTCAGATGCAGCCTTTCTCTTGATTGTCATATGATAGATATGTTGTTCCAGTTGATCCATCCACCCTTACAAGTTGTGTGTGTCTATGTGTGTGGACAGGGGCTAGAGGAGGTGAGTCGTACAGAATTTGGGAAGAAAATCAAGGAGGGAATGGAGGAAGCAGCCAAGACTGCTAAGACGTCAGCAGAGTCTGTCTCTAAGGGTGGAGAAAAGTTGGGGAAGACTGGTGCATTCAGAGCAATATCACAGGTATGGAGTTGTATGGTGCAGATATGTTTCCTTTTTTTTTAAACCAAAAGTTAAAGTGCATTCATTGGTTTTTGTTTATTTTAAATAAAGAACAGATACATACACATAAACATAAGCTTCAGCTGTTTTTAGTAAGGCAGGACTGAGATGTGATTGTTACTACAAATCTAGAAACTAGAAACTGCTCAAGGTTAAAGATAGTGGTATGGAAATAGTAATGTACATTTAGAAATTTAATAAAAAAAAAGAGTCATGAAAATTATAAACGGGAATACTGGAACTCATTTGTTGTTTTCTTGTCTGCTACCTCCTCATCTGTTTTCAGGGTATGGAGAGTGTGAAGAAAGAGATTGGTGACCTGGGTCACACTGGCCCTTATCGGCCTCCTGCCAGACTCAGGAAGAGGAGTGAGTTTTCCTCCAAGGGTCCAGGGGATGACAGCAAGGTCTTCGAAGCTAACGAGTACGTGAGTGCCCTCTGGTTTGCCCTGATACTGAGAGGGGAACGCCTCTCAGTATCAGGGTAAACCAGTCTAATTATTGTTATTAAAAATACAGGAAATAAAATCTCTGAGCCAAACTGTGGTAGTGTTCCCAACATTTCCTTTACTTTTAGTAAATTGTTCTTGCTGTAAATACTGCAGTGCTTTACTTTCAGGTAATATGATTAAATGTGACCGTCAGCATGAGTGCAGCAAGTCAACAGGGACACCTCGTTTCCCTCTGCCAACTGTTTGAAGCTTTACTCTGTGTATTATCCAGGGAAGCTATGGGTGTGGTGCTCCACAAAGACTCAAAATGGTACCAGCAGTGGAAGGACTTCAAAGACAACAATGTGGTCTTCAACAGTAAGAACTAACTGACATCTTTCTGTCTGTCTTTGCATCCATGGCTTGTTATTAGTGTACCAGCAATTTTCTTTTGTATGTAAGTGATGTGGAGTCCAGGTCAAACCAGAGGCTTTAAAAAAGTGTGTAATTTTTGTGTGGGAAAAGAGTCATAAATGGATGACCTATTTAACTGCTGCTGAGTAGTCATAAAGTTAAACAACATGGTGGGTCTAGTTGCATTTTTGGAGTCCCATGTCATTCAGGCTGTCCTGTATGTGCTGCTGCTATTGGGGCTTTTCACAACTCTGGTGAGATAAATTAATCTGTAGCAAAATTGTCTTGGATGACTTGGAACACTTTACAAACCTTCAAGCTTTTGGGTCTCCATTAATAAACATTACTGAAAGAGCCAGTTAATAGAATAGTGCTGAACATTACTGTGCTGATTCACTCTACATTATACATTAAACATTAGGGAAACAACATTGGTGAGGTCAACAAATTTGCGAGTAGGTAGTAGGCATAAGTATGGAGATTTTCATAGCTATTGTTGCAGCATCAGTAAGTTTTACTCTATCCTAAAAACTAGGGGTTGGGCGGTGAACCAATACATCAGTCTTCTATAGTAGGCTGAATCTATGGCAGATTAAATGTTTGGCTGATTTCAGCCAGCAAAATAATATCTCCAGTGGATATATGTGTAGAATATGTGCCTACACAGTGACCTACACAGTATAAAACCTGCAGCTCTCCATTGTGGCTGTTGAGTGGCATTACATGGTATATGTTCAGTTTAAAGGATTATTCAGTTCAGTAGAATACTGCCGTTGCTAGATGCCAGATTCAGAAGGGCATGAAACTCAGACACTACCCTGGATCTTGAACTCCAGTACATTTGATATTGCTTGCTGCAGGGGTGAAGGTATCCAGTGGGAATGTTTTGCACCAAATCCTGCTAAATATATCTGAATTGTGTGTGTGAGTGTGTGTGTGAGTGTGTGAAATGATGAGGGGCGAGTGTATGTTTTCCTGTGGGATTTCATATTTCTGACAGGAAATTATGTTTAATCTCTGTATATTAACTTAAACTATAAATTTGAAAGGATTTGCTGATCCAAGAGAATTATTTTTTTTTCCCGTGTGTGGAGGTGATAGAAGTTTCAGGTTTCAACTTAAACTGTCTCTCATAAAACTCATTCTTACGCTCACCGCAGGGTTCTTCGAGATGAAGATGAAGTATGATGAGAGTGACAACGCCCTCATTAGAGCATCTCGTGCTGTCACTGAAAAGATGACTGATATCATAGGTGAGAGGCCTCTGGCCAGTAGTCTGAATTAATCATACTGAGAGTACTAATCAAGCTATAACAGAGAATATACAAAGGTTATGTGTACTTCGGGTATCTATAGGTATGTATAAATTCAGAAAAGATTCATATCATATGTACAGTATTTCTCAGTCGTGCTTTTCTTTTAATCTTTTCCTAAAGGCATATAGTTTTCATTATAACTACATTACTAAATGAGAACAGACTGTATTTAGCAATTTTATCTAGTCAAGACAGAACTGGTAAGCGAAAGTAAATGTTATGTATTATGAAGCTTTAGTAAGACATGCATGTTTACCTCAGAAAAATACACATTACAACAAGCAAACATTTTGTTTTTGTCACATGTAACTACTTAGCCACAATATGTCCCTGATCTAATCATTTCCAACAGTCTGTTCTACTGTTCATTATCTCTTTGCTTCTCTTTGCTACACTGGCTTTGTTCAGTCACTACAATGCTTGGGTTTTCTTTGGTAGCAGAATTAATTCTTAAATTTAACCCTCACAATCCTGCTGTTACAGTGCATTTTTCTTCATCTGTTATAAGTGTTTCCTGTCTTATGTGTTCATGTGCATCTAGGTGGGCTGTTTTCGAAGACAGAGATGTCTGAAGTACTGACAGAGATTTTGAAGGCGGACCCATCCTTTGACAAAGATTCTTTCCTCAAGCAGTGTGAACAAGATATCATCCCCAATATACTGGAGGTATGTTGGACAACAGACATACAGCTGGTCTGTTTTATTAAATCCTTTAATCCATTTGAGTTTTATGTACTGTAGATCAAGTTAGGACAAATGATGTTTCTGAAGATATTTTTTATGCAACGTTCTATTCTAATTTCTACTAATTATATATAAATAAAAACCTCTGTGATTAGGTCTCGTCTATGGTTGCAGTGGTATGAAATGTTCTCAGTATTAAAAGTGTGTTAGAAAATCAGTTTCACGGTAAATGGTATTACACAAAAACTTTATTATACTTCAACAAAATATTATGTCCTGACAGACATGAAACTTTTTTTTTTTTAAATAACACTAATAGGGCAGTATTCAATACCTCAGATAAGCAAATGGACAGTATAAGTATTTTCATAACTTGATATACTGTGAAACTGGCAACCAAAGTTTGATTTACTAATGGTGTTTGCTCTGTTCCCATGCAGGCAATGATCAGAGGGGAGCTGGATGTACTGAAGGACTGGTGTTATGAAGCGGTACGACCTTTCTCACACACAGCAGATATCATGGGTTTCTTTTGTTATTGATATGGAAAGACTGTAGTTAGCATATTGGTGCATGTATCTCCTTTGGTTACGAAGCTCTTCAGAAAATGTTTGGTCACAATGTTATCTTGTCTTTTTTTTTCTCCATATTGGGCGTGTAGACATACAGCCAGCTGGCACACCCAATTCAGCAAGCCAAGGCCATGGGACTGAAGTTCCACTCTAAGATCCTGGACATTGACAATATTGATGTGAGTTACTAAATATTACACTCCACTGAACAAGATTAATTATCACTCTTTGACAGCTGGTACTTCACGAAACTCCAAGGTTTTACTAAATCTAATTCTAAATAAAGTTTACAATACACTTGAGTTAACATACATTGTCATAAATAAGTGAAAAGGCCTTTTAAGATGTGGGGTGATGCTCTGCCTGCACACTCATTTGGATCCGCAGGGTCTCACTGTGCTCCGCATGTAAACAGACAGGCAGCCAAGAGTTGTGCCGGTAAATACCAGGCCAAAATTGGGTGCAACCATGGCAACGGCTAATGTGCACTGCTGTATCCCTGCCGATGCAACTGTATTGTAAGTCTATAACTAAATAATGTAACAAACTTTCAAATTAGTTCAGTTAGTAAGTTTACAAGTGACTACATCAGATTCACCCCATTCACATGCTGATAAGCAGAGACTAAATTGCCAGCTGCCCGCCAGAAACAGAAATGAACTCATTCATATACATTCGCACAATTTTTGGGGTTCAGTATCTTGCCCAAGGACACTTCGAAATGCAGATGTGGGATGGAACCATCAACCTTCTGATAAGTGGACAACCGCTCCATCTATCCCCTGAGCCACAGCTGCCACTGTGGACGGCGTAGGTCATTGTGGGTACATCTTATTCTGACTTTTAATTCACAAAACTCACAAATAATAAGGATCAGTCTCTTTTCAACTTTGTACATCATGCATAAGATAGTTCAACTCTGGCTGCGGGCAGGCAGGTGTGTGAGACAAGCACAACCGCGTCAGTTTTACAGGATTGCACCAGCTTTTTAATTTTTTTATTTATTTATTTAACCTTGTCACACCGCCTGTCAGATTGCCCACACCCCCCTTCCTACCCGCTCACATTAATAGACTTGTGATACTTTCATCTCTTCTTTTATTGACATGGCACCTGTTATAAGAGAATATCAACAAAACTGTTAGAAGCCTTTTTAATGCACAACTATTGTTTAGATTTGAAAAGATTGTGGTAAGAGTGTATATGGTGATATGGTAAATTATATAATCAAGTCAGGCAAAGGTCAGTTTTGTCAAACGTCATGAAAAGTCACAAGCAAGTGTAACCAGTTTGTTCATTTTTTATTTTTCTGTGTTTTGTTTTGCTGGTTCTATTCTCAGACTGTATTTAAGTTCTTGCAGCAGTTTTGTCTCTATCAACCATAACTAATGTATTTTTAAATATCTCTTGAGCTATGATAAACATCTTTAATACTTAAATGCTATCTAATAGATCATGTTTTGTTTCAATGTATCCTCTTCTCCAGTTGGCCATGGGGAAGATAATGGACCAGGGTCCAGTGCTGATTATCACCTTTCAGGCTCAGTTGGTCATGGTGATCCAAAACACCAAAGGAGAGGTGGTGGAGGGAGACCCTGTAAGTTACACATGCTAAGAAAAAGGTCTTTGATTCGCTAGAATCTGCTATATGATAAAAGTAAAGTGCTTCTATATCACAACAAATGGACATTATGTGATATTTGAACTGTGTAATGTTATAGAAATAAAGCTTTAGCTAGCATTTTGTCATAATCACAAATGTGTCTAAACTTCCTTATAAATGAGGCACCGACCACTTTTTACTATTTGGGCATTGCTTCTGTTCATTTACACCCATGACACAGGCTAATGCTGTTTTGGTTGTAAATCAGCCGTGCTATCCACTCAGGGTTCCTCAGGGACACCTGTAATTGGTATCCACTCAGAAGCGTGCAGTTGGCATTTGCCCAGTCTTCAGATTAAAAGACTACTGAGGATTAATGGTGGATGTACTGTTCTTCTGTGTTTTATCAGCTGAATCCAAATGTCTGGACATCAAATGACAGACTCTGCCCTTATGGACTACAGTGTCTCCTACACCCAGCTTCTCACAGTTACTCCTCATTTGGTCACAGACTTTTAAATCTTTTTCCCCTTTCAAACTTTCTTGGTGTTAGAGACAAATGGGACATTTGGGTATTGACTGGGCACATCTAATTCAAAAATAATGTGTGTGACCACTCTGGGTAGCGGTTGAAATTATTCTCACTGGCTCGTAGTCTGTACGTGTTCTCAGAGAGACCAATATCTAAAACCTAACATGGCTCACACCAGGCTAACATAATCACAAAGGTGTGTGTGTGTGTATATAGTTTGTGTGTATATGTCCTTCCTGCTTTACAGTGATTAAGAAGAATTCAGCAGTTAAGCGTAAGTGTTCTTAACCTATCTGTTTTTCTCCCTGCAGGATAAAGTGCTCCGGATGATGTACGTGTGGGCTCTGTGTCGTGACCAGGAGGAGCTCAACCCATATGCTGCCTGGAGACTACTTGACATTTCTGCCTCAAGCACTGAACAGATCCTCTAAGACTCTTTGATATGCACAAAAACCTCTAAACCCAGGAGAGAACATACTGTACCTGAATAGGCCCTGGAGCTGGCTCAGAACGAAAGTGGGTGAGAGGAAGGCATGTGGAATGGATGACGGAAAGACAAGTGGGACATGGGCTCACTTCACAACAGGAACATTCTGGAGTAGTGTTAATAAACAATGCTTCACTTTTCTTTTTTCTACAGTGGCTTTGGGTTCAGTCACAGCAATCCCTGGATTTTCTTTGAATGCCCCCAATGAGTTATTTCTAACAATTCCTCTGGCTCACACCAGGGGGTGGTAGAGTACCAACAACAATACTTTCTGCAATGCCTGTGTGACTGTCCTTTTTTAAAACTGTATAGTGCAGGGCAACCATTGTTAGCGTTTAAGGAATACATGAATTTACTTAACTTAGGCTGAACTTTTATAATGAATGAGAAAAGAAAATCCAAGGAACAGGTTTGTTACTGAGTCCCTGAACTTCAGGTTGGTGTCAGTATCTCAATAATCTATCCCATCAGTCCCTTATACTCTCTCTTCCTCTCTGAGGTGTTGTTATCTGGTGTTGTGGCCAATCACTACCTTCCTGGATCCTTTTTTGTACAATAATTGTCCAATATAGTTGTTAAACTGTGAGAAAGTCTATATTTATTATGAAAAATAAAGATGACCCCTGTTTTTCACACTAGCAGACATTTTTGAAAGGAACAAATATTTTTTTACCTTCTACCCTGCAAATGGTTAAGCTTTTCTTCTGAGCTGGAGGTTGTCATGTGATTCCTTCTAGGGCAGTAGCTAATTATTTTTTTTTAATTAAATCCTCAAGTGGGATTTCAGTGTTTGCTATATTTCCTTTGGGAAAAATGCTACTTATGAGAGAATTTTTACAGTTTCCCAGAGCAGGGCTAGGGCACTCATTTGCTTTGAGTGAAATTTAACTGCCTCTGTAAACCAGATTGTAGTGAACATGATCATTTTGACCGCTTTCTTGGTTTGGGGGATACACAGGAAACACTAAGATCATCTCTTACCCAGACCAAATTAGATTAAAACTTCAGTGTACCTTCCGCTTTCATTCCTGACATTAACACTCAGTGTCATCATTCAGTTTTCTTCAGATAACAAACTTCAGTGTTGCGGAGGGTTATAAGTCACTGCTGCTTGTGTTCAATGTGCCATGTCGTTTGCCCTACACACCAGAACTTAAACCTCCTCTCCTGGACATATAAAACGATGGACGTTGCAAATGCTAAATGGCACACATTTCACCAGATCTCATTACTAATCTCCCAAATCGGTTGTCACATGTCCAGGATGATGAGGATAGAGGTCACCTCTGCACACGGTCTTGAATATCTTTGAAAATCCTCTGCTGGTTTTGTGGACAAATGTATTTCACTGCGACACCTTAAGTGTAAATAGTTCCATCAACAAGTCATTTGGACCCTAACAAGGACAATGACACCTCATTAAAATCTTATCTAATATACAGATTTTACGGTGTTCATTTGGTTTGGTAACCCGTTTACCTCTGATTTGTTGGAGACAATAGTTCCAATAAGGTCACAGAATGTAGATTGCAGATACATCTGCATCACATTGAGCCTTTTTTTGTCAAGCCAACAGAATACCATATAGCTGCATTTTCCCTGCTCTGCATTTTGCCCATTTCTACTCTGTAAGATGTCACCACCTCAATTAAAATGTCTGAATTGCAATCAACCTGATAAACTCCTTTGTGCACTTATTTTGGTCTGTTTTATAATGTCCTGCCAAACACAGGGCTGGATCCTCTGGAGAGTCTGTGCTTCGTTTAGGACACGTGCTTCACTTACAATGTGTCTTAGTTGCTTTTTGGTACAGGGTGCAGATGAAAGGGTGCGATCACACTACAGTGGCTGTTCATCGTCCATGGCAGCAGTCGGACAGCTCATTACAGATGGCCGGATACAGAGCTGCATGCAGTGTTGCATTAATTTGGACTAGGCTGCTCGCACAGAGCAATTTTGATTACAGCAGTCTTGGTTGAGAGGGTAGGCTGTGGCTTATGAACAAGCTTGCATGTTTATTCCCGCATGTGTACTGTACTGCATGTCAGCCTGCACATGTGGCTCAGCAGCTCCCCTGTTCCATGGCTGTCCTGGATGATGGATTCTCTGTGTTGCTGAGATGTGCTGAGATTGCAGCTCCCCAATGTACCACTCATCGCTCAGGATGCACCCCCACAACTCACACACAGCTCTCAACACAGGTATTCACTGGTGGGGAGAACATCTGATGCACATTCGTGAGTTTGCACTACAGTCTTTACACTGATTATAGATTGATCTACATTTCATCTCTAGCTGTCACGATCAGTGTGGTTGGAAAGGTTGGTGGACCCAAATGCAGGACACGGATCCTGGCAAGTACATTTCAATTATTTATTTTAAAACAAACAAAAAGCGAGCACACTTACAACTTGAGTGGCTGAGTCCAAAGAAATCCAAATTTATCACAGTCCAAACAAACAAGGCGATCCAACAGAAAATCCAGAAAGGGTACAATCCAAAATCCACGGAACAAACAGGCAGGGCATGACAAGCTATGATGACCGGACAAAGACTGAGGGAAACGCAGGCAATACAGAGGGTTAAACGCAGGCAATACAGAGGGTTAACTGCTGGGAGGGAACAACACAGGTGACAGGCAATCATAACAATCAAGCACACAGACAAACAGGCAGGCAGAGAGACCAACAGGAGAAACAGGCAGACCGGCAGGCAGAGGGATTACTGGGGGAACAGACAGAACAGACGGAGCAGATCAGAATAACAAACTAATCCAGAACACAAGCAGACATATCACAAATAAACTACAGCCAACAGGGAAAACAGACTGAACTAGGATTGAACAGAACAGAGCAGACAAAGCTAAAATAATGCAAACACAGAACTAGGAACTAAGACACAGAACTAAAACGCAGGACTAAGAAGTAAGACGAGAAAACAGAATGAGAACCAACACAAAAATCCTCACAAAAATAAACAAGGCAAAACAGTAGAACACAAGACATGGAACCAAAACACAGACTAAATAACAGATACCGATATGACCAATAAATAAAACACACAGAGAACTAAACTAAACAGACCAAATGACAGGACTAAAATGCAGACACAAAACCAAAACTTCAGAATCAAGAACCAAAACCCAGAAACAAGAATCAAAATACAGAACACAGAGGAGATACGGCCAAAATAATATAAACACCGATAAACTCAGGACAAGATCATGACACTATCGGTGTGAATAGTTTGCAGAGTCTTTACTTAACTATTGCGTTAAATATTTAGTTTCTTTAGCTTTTGTTAAAGATACTGTATAGTAACAGTATTTCTTGTTGGTGCATTTAAACACTCACTCCTGAGACATTAGAAGCTGGATGCTGCAAGTCATTGCACGTTGATAAGTTGGATATGTCAGGAAATGAAACCTGCAAGACACAAAGGTAGCTAAACCTGTATTCTGAAAAAAAAAAAAGCCTTTGAAAGGTTGCTCCTTTAATGCTCAAGGAGAAGTTGGTGTACCCGAGACATACAAATGCCTTAACAAGAAAATCAACAGTGTTAAGACGTGATGAAAATGTGATTTCACAAAAAGTCCCTGCAGGCTGAGTGGATGCCTGAAAAGTAGGGAATCAATCTCAACTGTAAATTTATGGATTGAAAAACATTTGGTATTCACATAAAGTATATCTTAATGAGAAATATGCAAACTAACAAACTAGTATGGTCTTTTTAACCACCAACCTCCCAAATAAACCAGATTTAAACCCAACCTTAACACTAATTCTAAAGCCTAACCTTTATAAACCTACTGTAGTCACTTCCCTTAAACTAATGCCAGAAGTAACCTCTTCTTACTAGCCTAAATGTCCTTTCTTTGGAGGTTTACCTCATCTTACTGACTAATGACATTTGGTCCTTGGACAGGAGTACATTCACTCAAACATTTGTTCACAAAGTGCTTAATGCTGACTGCACAAGTGGCAAGGACACACACGTACATATGGGTAGTAATGGTAACAGTTTTGCCAAGTGAACTCAACAGGGGTATTTTCCTCTGACTCACACATACAGAACACAAACGTCACTGTCTGAAGGGAAAAGAAGCTCGCAGCCACGCAGCTGGCCAACCAGGGGCTACTCTCACATGAAGTGTTGCTGGGTTAAGTCCCAAAGAAGTAGGGCGGAAGTGTCACATAGACTCTCTCACTTGACGGGTGAGTGTTGTCATGCCATCGACGCCCAGGATCCAGGTTGGCAGCTGCAGGACTAACACGTTGAGTGACAATAGCGTCATAAAACATGGTTTCTGGTGCTTTGTTTTTAATTAATTTAGCAACCGAACAAAAACAGACAGTAGAAGATACAAAACATGAGGGGTACCATTTAAGTAACTGACTGTGGTATTCACTCATTCATGTCAAGTGTCCTTGCCTGGCAACCGTCTTTTTCTTTAACATCCGCCTCATTTCCTTTCTTCCCTGTCATCTGTCCAGTGCTCCATTAACTACGCTGTCCTTGAACTTCCTTAGCACCCAGTCTCCATAAGGACAATTTTAAACAGCATCGTCTTTTTCTCTAGTCCTCCCTCCATATTATTATTTATTTTAATAGATTTTCTGTTGAAAAAAACTAAACATGTTAATCGCAGCTTTTGCTGTATCTGATTATGTCAAATTGTAGAAGCAATATGGTCACAGGCAACAATCCACATCTTTCTGTATTAGGACAAAGTAAAAATGTATGCATGAGATGTTTTCAGATGGGCTTAATGCAACATGACATTGTTCTTACTTGATGTGAAGTTAAGCTCTGGCTGCTACAACAACTCTCTGATGAGTCCGATGCACAGTCCTTTGGAAAGAGCTAGAAGGTCACCAAAGTCTGGCTGCGTGTACATGCGTACGGTTGCTCATTCTGACCCAGATTCACCAGTGTAGTGGGGCACTGTGCCAGCATGTCAGTTCATGGGCAAACAGGAAAGTGCACACTCACACTCACATTCATACAGGCGGTCAGACAACAATGTGGGGAAATGTCAGGAGGGCGTCCCAGTGGAGAGAGGGATTATGCAGGACTGGTTTTTCAGGGAGCTCACTCGAGCAATGGTGGGATTCCTTCTTGTCCTGGGTAGAAACTGGAAATAAGAGCCTGGGGGATTGAATAATTCTGTGAGGCACATGTCTTACTATTTCTCTGTAGTCTTTAGGTGTGTGTGTGTGTCTCCCCAGACCAGGCACAACATCACAGTGCCCAGGAAACCTGCTAACCCCCACAGGATTTCAGCACACGTTCACAATCACTTTCCATCCCTTCTCACTGGATCCTGCTACCTTTGCTTAGTCCACACCTCTTCTGTTACAGAAATAATATTTATGAATTGTTAAATGCATGTAATTATTATATAAAATGATTTGCCTGGATCCACACCTTTGAATCTGCCCGTGTCACAGAGTTGAAGATGGTAATGGAGTGTAACAAGTTGACAGTAAAATGATTGGTTAACCCACTTACCTCTATTTCAGTGGGTTCCGACCTGTCTTTGTCGACCCCTTGCCCCTTGTCTTGTTTCTTTGTATATGTTGTTTTAATCTGAGGATTTTTATTGAGAAAAAATTTAGGTATTTTTGTGGAACAGATTTCGCGAACACTTTCTATGAAGGTCATCGCTATAATGACTTATGCATATATTTATAACACGATATAATGCGTCCATAAGACATTATAAGAGTTGTTATAATCACTTACAAACATGCATTAGGCGCTATAGCAAAGTTCATAACGTATTATGACCTTTTGTTTTAATGTTTTATAACTAATAGTAATACCAGTTTATATCAATGTGCGGCAAGAATCTCTGAACATGTTCCATAACACATTATAACCATCGACTCTGCCTCGTTATGAATACACTTTAGTAACAACTGTTATAATGTCTTATGGACACATTTTATCATTATAGCGATGACCTTCATAGAAAGTGGTACCCAGATTTCTTCTTGTCTCTTTAGAAATAGTCTCTATCAAAACTGCCGACAGCAAGGTCTGTGAATTATCCTTACCAACAGGGACACTGATTCTGGGAGAAGATGTTCCTGTAGATTTTTTAGAATGTCATTTTCAGTGCCGCATGCACCATAAACAATTTGTGCCTTTTCCTTTACTTTCATATATGTATGTAAAAATCTTCTTTGCGGGGATGATTGAACAAAGATGATTGAAAAAAAAAGGTGAAGTAGCTTATATACCTATGGCCGAGGACAATTCAATAATAGATCTTTGAGGTTTTTGTTTGGGGATATTGCCTCACATTAAAATCACATTTTTCTTTTAAAGGTTATCCTCTTCATCTTTTCATAAAGCTTCCCTTGTTATTGCAACTCTAACAGTGTTTGGGATCTAATATTGGGGAGCTTTGTGTCTTCCTATGAAAGTCAGCGGTCAATATATCCTTATCTCATTTTCATATATTGCTCCAGTCCCATAAGATAAGACAGTGATATCAAACAGAGAGAGGGAGAAATCTCTGTACATGTGTTATGAAAAAAAAAATCTCTTTACCTTTAATAAAAATGGGAGGGAGGAAGTGATCAGTGAGAAAGAGAGAGACAGAAAGGGAGATGATGTAGAAGGACTGACAGGCAGAAAGGCAGAACTTGTTCAGCATTGTAAATG